TTTATTATTTATATCAAATGGCAGGCGTTTTGATGGTTATCATTATCCCTTTAGTTGACTTCAGGCTTCACAGAGAGGGGAAGGAACATCAGTGAAAAAAAGTCGAGAGGAGGGGTACTGAAGAGTGTTTCAAAGACGAAGGTTGAAAATTTAGAAAAAAATGTGATGTAGTACTGTGGAAGTGGTCGAATATGCCATACAGTGGGGTGATGGTAGTTTGAAGTCAACTGCCGGTTTATAGACTTTTTTGCCGTATGAGTATACGTTGCCCAGGGTGCACCACGTGGAGGTAAGTCTATCGCACACCCCTGTCAAATTAAACATGCGTCTTGAAAAGCGATTTGAAAATATGTAAAATCTCATTATGTTATTTTGGCAAATGGTGCTCAAAACCCTCATGAAATATTAACTACTTAAAACCACTGAATTAGAAGGCCAACATGGTAACAATCGCAAGGATATGAAATGGTGTCACGTGGACCTATTGGAGGCATTAAAAAACGAGGCCAAGGTGTGTGTACGAACCACAACGAAACCAATTGTGAATGCGAGGTTATGTATAAAGAGACGAGTGTCGACTACCATCCATCATTGGTTGCCACACGTTTGATTTCACAAAATCTAGTGATGCAGATCTTCATGCAGTAATACTACCACATTCGAGGTGCACTTGAAGGAGAAGACTGGGGATAGGAAAGGTATTGCAATAGATCAACAACGCCTCATCTTTAATGGTGGCCGTCTGGTAGACAGTCGCACACATTCTGACTACAATATCCAAGAGGGATCAACAAGCAAATGTGGTGTTTCAATGCTATATTTGTGAAACTTTGCTTAGTTTGAACGTGGTGGCTTTTAATTCAATTATACCAGTAGCTTTGCCAAGAATACAATTTGTTGTCAATATGCCCGTCTTTAGTAACTGGCGTGGACGTCAGTTGAGGGTGAGATGTGGTTGTTTAAAGTGGGGGGGGGAGTGTAGAGAAGTGTAGAGTAGAGTAGAGTTGAGTGGAGGGGAGAAGGGGATGGGTATTTAGTGCTGGTAATTGGGTACTGGTAATTCGTGTGAAATGTTAGTGAGTGTGCCTGGTTTGAGTCCGTTTACTAGATCATGATCCATAACAAATACTCCCCGAAGTTGATGGAGTAGAGTTTGAAACAGTGAGGTGAGGAAGGGTGGGGGGTGGGGGGAGATTTGTAAAGACCATGTGGTTTTTTTAGTGGACAGCAGCTTTGTGCTTGTTTCTATTCTTCGCCGCTGTTGTTGAGATTGATTGCTAGTGGTTGTGTACTGAGGTTATACCCATTAAGAACATCACAGCGTGTACTGTCATTAACAGCCTCCAACAAGTAGTCGATAATCAGAGCAAACCAAATGCATCCGTATCTAAAAATATTAGGCAGTCTCCCTTCAATGTCTTCCAGATCAAAACGGTCCTTCTATTTGCCATATCATCGAAAACGGAAGTGTAAGTCAACTTAACCGATGACCGGTAGAATCGCACGAAACTTACATCTGATTTTATCACAGTCGTGAAGCCCATTCATGAAATATATTGCCGATGTGGCGTAATAGTATGCGTAATTTGAAAAGCTCAAGTATGACAAGTAAAGTTTCATGCGGATGTAGTTTGGTGGAAATATTTCTTGCATCACATGCCATTGTTATGATGAATTTTATTTACTTTCATGTCATGAGACGTACTTTCAATGCAGGAATGACCGCAAACCACAAGACTCATTGAATTGTGCAAATGCCTTATAATTCGGATTTACTCAAAAATGGCAAATTAACCAAGCTCCTATAAAACATATTTTGGTGTCTTTTATCGCATTTGCCGTCTACACATATAAAAGCAGCATCAAACAGTCATTGGTTAAACAGTGTCAGTAATTCAGTAACTTGACAGGCTTTGCAAGTCCTTCTGTGTGCTGTTACTTCTGCTAATTTGGGGTGTGCGTTAGACTTACCTCCACGTGGTACACCTTGGGCAACGTATAATCATACGGCAAAAAAGTCTATAAACCGGCGTTTGACTTCTGACTTCAAACTACCATCACCCTACTGTATGTCATATTTCACCACTTTCACAGTACTCACCTTACCTTTCTTCTACCTTTATGTCTGTCTGCCTCTTTTACATCTGTGAATCGCTCTTCTGTTCCCCACCCCTCGACTTTCTGCTACTTTGATGAACCTTCCCTCTGTGAAGATCGAAGTCAGCTAAATGGCTAATGAAAGCTATCAAAATGCCTGCCATTTGAAATAAATAAATAAATTTCTGCTAATTTACGTCAAACACATGGCGATATTCTGCACTCGAAATTTGCGCTTGCCGTGTAGTTCACTAATCCATCTTTCCACTTTCTCTCCCTCTGACGCCAAAGTGGTTTGAGGATAGGTAAATGGTAGCATTAAATTCATCTATCTTATTTATTACAAAGGTGATTTCATGGCAATTAGAGGCAAATCCTCAAAAATCACTATCTCGTGTTCTTGGAGATCGAAAATGACCACTTAAGGCATCATGTTTGTGAATTTACATTTCGTACACTACTCGACCACATTATTAACATCACATGGTTAAAAGTCGTACAATTCTTTCAATTCGTTATTGGGGTTCGTGATGTGACAAATGCAGATCCAACTCCCGTATGCTACTACTGTACATCATTTAAGTAGTCATACACTTCCATTTTCATTTTTATGACAAATCAAAATACAGCCTTGATATGGATGACACTCGAACAAAATGATTCTTGGTCACCTTTGTAAGATTAAGATTACCATTCATCTTTAATATGCCCATGACCCTAACCATCTTCAATAGTCTTTTTGGTAGGCAATCACATCTAGGCTAACGGAGTTCCATTTGTCGCCATTTAACAAGTCTCAAAAAGTCACTTCTATGTTCACTTTAATTAAAAGCTTTTCACTCGAGCAGAGACGAAGCTCAAAGCTTCGAAATCAAAGCACTGATAATTCTCGTGACCAATCGGAGTACTAGCGTCCCATCAAAGGGACAATTTCGCGGCTCCTCCAACTCACTCCTATCAGATAATCACCAGTAAACACAACCAACTCTAGCACCACCAATAAACAGAAACAAAAAAAACACTTTCCTGATCCCACCTCAGCCCACTACCACACCAATGACTGAATAACTAGCATATGGATAATAAATTGTATTCTTGACAAAGCTAATTAAAAACCCAAATTAAAAATTCAATAGAATTCTTCAAAGCAAAACAACACAAATATTAAATTAAAGCACTACGACGTTTGTGGAACTAAAAACCACCACGAAGACGAAGCACTAGATGGAGAGTTGATTCCTTCTGGATATTGTAGTCATTAAGAGTACGTCCGTCTTCCAGCTGCTTGCCAGCGAAAATGAGTCGTTGTTGATCTGGGGGGATGCCCTCCTTGTCCTGAATCTTCGCTTTCACATTCTNCCTCTAAGTCGTAGAACCAAGTGAAGCGTAGACTCTTTTTGTATATTGTAATCAGACAAAGTGCGGCCATCCTCTAATTGTTTACCGGCGAATATAAGACGTTGCTGATCTGGAGGAATTCCTTCCTTATCTTGAATTTTCGCTTTTACATTTTCAATTGAATCACTGGGTTCAACTTCAAGGGTAATAGTTTTACCAGTTAGGGTCTTGACGAAGATCTGCATTCCACCACGAAGTCGAAGCACTAGATGTAGAGTAGATTCCTTCTGGATATTGTAGTCAGATAGAGTACGTCCGTCTTCCAACTGCTTGCCAGCGAAAATGAGTCGTTGTTGATCTGGGGGGATGCCCTCCTTGTCCTGAATCTTCGCTTTCACATTCTCTATCGAGTCACTCGGCTCAACCTCGAGAGTAATTGTTTTACCGGTGAGGGTCTTCACAAAAATTTGCATTCCACCACGGAGACGCAAAACAAGGTGTAAGGTGGACTCCTTTTGGATGTTGTAGTCAGAAAGAGTGCGTCCATCTTCCAATTGCTTGCCGGCAAAAATCAGTCTTTGTTGGTCTGGTGGGATTCCCTCCTTATCTTGAATCTTGGCTTTTACATTCTCAATTGTATCACTAGGTTCCACTTCGAGCGTTATAGTCTTCCCAGTAAGAGTTTTTACGAAAATCTGCATGTTTAGAAATCCACAAAACCAATATCAGCTCCAGCTGATAGCTCGTTCAGAATTCCTCTTTTATATATAATCGCATGTGCTTACGTGTCACCCATTTCGCATAATAATTGGTTAGTTTTATATTTCGGCATTTTTATTGGTTCGAATTTTCTAGATTTTTCCTTTCGTCTTCATGCTATAGCAACGAAAATTCTTGCAGTTGGTTTTACTTTTAACAAATTTGAACATTTTGCATTTTTGGTTAAAAATAAAATTAAGGCACTAATCTTTGAAACCTGTTCATGTTGTATTTTTTTACAATCAAAATTTCTATGGGCGTGTTTAGATTGAAAGTCAGTTGACTAAATTGCAACTTTGATCTCACAATTTTTACTTCTATTTATTCTTCATTTTGTAACTCTCCAGTTCTCGCATTTCTACTTCTCTGTGTCCACTTCATTTTGTCATTGTTCGAAGTTAATCGCTATAACCCGATTCTCTTTCGCATTCACTGATCATTGAGCTCGCAGCCACGATTAGCCAATCAGGTTGTGTTTATTGTCGAAATGGTTTATTGTATTGGGGACAATTTGTAAATATTTACCTACTTTGTGTATTTGTGTACTATACCATAAATACATAAAGTTGCAGTTCTATCCTAGTCTCACACCATGTGTCAATAATCGGTCCAAATCGGCTTCCAGCTGCTAAAAATGCTCTGTTTGCTTTGACTTGTCATATGATTATTACTCCTGATTGTTTGTACAAACCTGTTTAACTTGTATTAGCTAAGTCACTTGCCACCATTAACTAATTCATTCGACATGGTTGTCCACTTCCTTATGTGTGTTGTTCCCTCCTCGGTATAAAAGTCTTTTGGAGGTCACCTGTATTTATGAATTTTTCCCCTTTTTTGTATCTTCCCATTATTTAACGTTTTATTTGAATCAGTTCGGCTATCTTGTCTTTTCTAGTGTTAACGTGGTTTGTGAACCTGGAATTGGTTATATCTTAGCTACACTTCTCTACCTTTTATGATTCCTATGCATTATTATATTGCTATCATTTTCTATAGCAAATTGAGGCTATCAATGAAGTTTTAAGAAAGTGCTAGCATTTCTGTTATGTTTAAATATTTATTGAGTCTTAATCTTTAAAATATTGCTTATCCATATGCTTATGAGAAAACAATTCTCTTAAATCTTAACATGTAGTTATTAACTAGTTCTTTTTAATCAGCACTATAGTGTTAAATATAGGTATTCAATTGCCTCATCTGGGGACAACACGTTTTTGTGGTGGGAGCAACATAACAGTAACACAATCACATGTCCGTTTTCAAGTTCAGGCATAGCAAGTATAAAAGTTCCCTATGTGATCTCAGATAAGTTACATCTCTTCTTTTTAAGTAATAGTCAAAATTTGTTTTCTTTTATACCCTATTATTAATTTAATTCCAACCCTTCAAGTATTAAGTTAAATGGTAAGTTTCCAAAGGGATCACGATTTCAAGAATATGCATAATCGCTTGCGCAATAGTCCTATAAAGACTCTTATTTGAATTCCAAGCTAAAATGGCTTTGTATAGCTAGTCTTTGTGAGGACTTGGCGCTTTTATGTACAATGAATCAGCGGATGGAACAAATTTGGGGTCAAACACAATATTTGCTAAATTTTCCCTTTAACTTGTGTATTATACAATCAATCGATAAAATCTGCTTTGAATTAAAGAAAGTCAATATTGCAAACCGGACTATAACAAAGGGATTTCTTTTTTGTAATCATATAGCTTCCTGGCTTACTTAAATGATTTCGAAATATTTTCAAATGGTAGTCTGGTTTTGTTAATTTGAACGATATCCATACACTATGCTTAAAAATAGAGATTATCTCTAAAACTAAGCCAAATTCATTTCATAATGTTACCAACCGTAACTATTACTATTCAGTATCGTATAAAATTTTGTCTGACACCTCTTGCAATGATCATAATTTTTGTTAATTAGAGTGCGATAAAGTTGCGTGAAATTATGAAATGTAGTTTGTGTATCAGCTGATAAGTCACTAAGGCAGACCGTGATCTTGCACTTTAGTCAAAGAAAAAAAAGATGGCTCAGTCTAGTTAACAGATTTCGGAATAGTTAGGTTTAACCTGTGTTTTCTTTCAGATAAAGCTAGAAAATTCGACATATTTTAGCATATATATGTGTGCCAAAGAGAAAGGCTTATCGCTAACCAAGAAAATGAAAGTAAAATGATCATAATGAAAGTAATTCAAAGAGCATTGAAAATGTATTTTCTACCAAGTATTTTTCCTACACGTAAAGAGGAGCATACTTAACAAACCAAATTTATATACCCAACTACAATTCTAATGTAAGTTCATGGAAAAACTAATAAATTTAAATCAATCAAACTAACTAAGAAAATTGCATCTTAACAGCATTGCAAGCAGAGTGAAAGGTAGTATATTGCATGCACGTGCGCACTTAAGCGCTTATGTTCGCACATAAAGCGATCGATATTCTAATGCTTTCCATATAATGCGCGCAACTAACACGCATTTTGTATGCATCAATATGACCAATGAGAAACTGCCTTGTGTTTAACTAGTTAGTTCAGCAACCAATCAACAGAATGTCTATCTAGCCTACGCAAAATATACCAACGGATTTAAAGTGCGATTCTGGCCTCTACCTCTCATTCTCGACGATGCAGATTTTTGTGAAGACTCTCACTGGTAAAACCATTACACTTGAAGTCGAGCCCAGTGATACCATAGAGAATGTTAAGGCTAAGATTCAAGACAAGGAAGGCATTCCCCCAGACCAACAGCGTCTTATCTTTGCTGGCAAGCAGCTTGAAGATGGTCGTACCCTCTCGGACTACAATATCCAAAAGGAATCCACCCTACATCTTGTGCTTCGCCTTCGTGGTGGTTAATTTGTTTTAATCTCTGCCGTTTCATTCTAAATATTATTTCATCCCTCAATTGGTTATTTTGTCTTTTCTGTACCTTTACTATGGGTGGGGTGGTTTTGCTGTTTGCACTTTTACGTTGTTTATGTACTGATTTTTTGGGTTTAGTAGGTTAGGCTATCTAGTCCTTTGCTTATTTTGTTGCTTTCTAACTTCCAATGCAAGCTGTTGAACCCATTAATTCTGCTCAATTTTCTGACAAGAATAGTTGGTTAGTTTGGTGACTTGAAATTGTCTTACAAATAACCTTGGGAGTAGGCTGCTTGTGTCGGAGAGCATCTCGGTAGTGGTTCTCTATTTATTGGGGTCTTGAGATATCTGTTTAATCAAACGTCATGGGTATCTTTGTTACTGCTTGGTTATACGCAGCGTTTATGTTACTTAATTTTGGAACATGCTTGTAGTTATTAAATCTGCTAGTAGTGTTCATGTCTTGTTTAACCTAATATTTCGTTATCTGAACGGTGCTAGCGTTAATGCATATGAAATAGGAATAAGTGGTTGCTGTCACTATTTCTGTTCAGTTCATTTTAGAATATCATTCAATATAGGACTTTGATTAGATTTTCATTTATGTGGGTTTAGTTTATTTTGTAGGAGTTCATGACCAACGATTTAAGAATGGTTTGAAAATGCCAATCATTAGTTAATATTTGAATAGTAGCTTAGCTGAGTTTTAATGCCAAATACAATAACTAGAAATTGTGCTTGTAGCATAGTTTGGGTAAATAGCTTAACAAAGTAAGCTCTAGGAACTACCTAAATGTCTCTTTTTTTATCACCGAGAGTAATAGGAAACATCGTCTCGTCATTAATTAAACTCTATCAAGGCTTATCACGGTAAACCAACACTCACTCGAACAATCTAGAAGGTGCCACATATTTCTGACCCTGTAGCAAGCATTCGTGGCGTGAGCGCAGAAACACTTGAGCCAATTAGCTATCAGTAGTTATTACAACGTGGCGTTGCACTAATTATAATTAATGACTAAGCGTTGCAACTGTTCGTCACAGTGGTAATAAACGCTGATTATTATATATGTTCTGTTTCGAATATGCTTTTAATTTCAGGAGCAATTTTATACCTAGGAATTTTGTTGACGTTTAGTCAAGTTTTGCAACCAAATCAATTTTCTAGTTACGACATCATCAATTCGGGAGTTTGACCTTTGACTTCAAACTACCATCACCTCACTCTATGCCATATTCGACTATTTTGTCACAGTACTCACCTCACCTTTGCTCTACCTTTGTGTCTGTCTCTTACATCTTTGAAATACTCTTCTGTCCCCCCCCCCTATCGACTTTTTCAATTCGATGTTCCTTCCCCTCTGTGAAGCCTGAAGTCAACTAAAGGGCTAATGATAACCATCAAGACGCCTGCCATTTGATATAAATAAATAAATAAACATCATCAATTTTAGGACCGAAAATTTTCGATACCTAATCTATTTGTTCGTATAACTTACTGAATTTCACGAATTACACGTTTTTAACAAAACTTTGCAACTTTATGGATTTTCAAAACCTGATTGCATAAACGTTTTAACCATGATTTGTTTTGAATTGAAGTTATTATTATTTCAAATGGCGGGCTTTGTGATATTAATCATTAGTTCTTAAACTTTGACTTCAGGTTTCCCCATGGGTGGGGGGGGGGNGACATTGATTGTCTCAAGGACTAGTGAGCGTATTTGCTCTGGTGGAGTGCTCTTCCTGAAGAAGTCGAGCAGTTGGGTGCAACACACTACATCCTGAAGAAGTCGAGCAGTTGGGTGCGTGAGAAGTCGAGCAGTTGGGTGCAACACACTACATCAATGCCCGCTAATGGGTTCATTTGTAGAGGGAGGCTTTTTGGTTTTTCATCAANATGTATGACCCATCAGTGAAGACTTGGAGCCATTGATCTGCAGGATAGTTGACATTGATTGTCTCAAGGGCCAGTGAACGCATTTGTTCTGGAAGAGTGTTTGCTTTCCTAAAGTAGTCAAGCAGTTGGGTGCGATACACTTCATCAGTGTCTGTTAATGGGTTCATGGGTAGAGAGGGATTTTGATTTTGTAATAGATTTGTAAAGCTTTCTTCAGTTCTATGGCTTTCTGTATTAGACTAGACTGCGTTTTCAGATGTCTTGGTCTAGTCTCATAGGAGCTGAAGAATTTAATCATGGGAATGCGCAGTAACTTCTCAAACAGGATCAAGGCCTTTTCTTTGATAAGGGAACATATTGTGGTGCTTCCTGTAACTAGGAGCATTGCATCAATAGGCGTGTTTCTATCCTGTAACCAGGAGCATTGCATCAATGGGTGTGTAATTCTATCTTCTGTAACTTGGAGCATTGCATCAATGGGTGTTGATTTTATTCCTCCCAGTAATAAGTCGTAATGCTTGGTTGTGTGCCTTCTCGAGTGAGTAATTAGTCGTAATGCCTGGTTGTGTGCCTTCTCGAGTGATTTGAGAGTCACCTCTGTGGCTGTAATGACGAGGGGTTTGAGAGTCACCTCTGTGGCTGTTATGAGTGGTCTCCAAACATACAACATTATTGGCTGAATAAACATCTTGTAAGTGGTGTTGAGAGTTGAGCGTGCACGGCTCCATACCAGCAAGACGCTTCAGTACATTCAGTCTATTGGAGACTCGTTCTGCTATTTTAGCAATGTGACTTTTCCACGTTAGCTTTGTGTCAAACGTCATTCCGAGATAAGTAAACTTTAGCTTTGTGTCAAAAGTCATTCCGAGATATGTGAACTCATCTGTCAAACGTCATTCCGAGATAAGTGAACTCATTGGTTTTCAAACGTCATTCCGAGATAAGTGAACTCATTGGTTTTTTCTTGGGTAGTATCCTTGTACCTTAGAAGCGAGTTTATGCGGTGACGGGCCAAAGAAAAAGTTTGGAATGCAGTTTTCGCGGTGTTGATTACCATTCCATTGTTGTCGCACCAGTTTGCTAGTAGTTTAAAAGCACAATTTAGGACACTTTCTCTTCGTTCCTGAGCGTTCTTCTTAGGGGCGGAATACCACAGAACAAATTTCCTTAGGGGCGGAATACCATAGTACCAGATCATCTGAGAAAATAGGGGCGGAATACCATAGAACAAGATCATCTGCATAAAGTTTTCACGTAATACCCTAGAACAAGATCATCTGCATAAAGTAAGCACTCCACGCCCGTGACTGTCTGTACCAATTCGGCTATGTCAATGATGAGATCGATGAAGACATTGAAAAGAGTGCAGCTTGTGACAGCTCCCTGTCAACATTGAAAAGAGTGCAGGTTGTGACAGCTCCCTGTGGAAAAAAGAGTGCAGCTTGTGACAGCTCCCTGTGGAAGGCCTGTATGCAGCTTGTGACAGCTCCCTGTGGAAGGCCTGTTTGTAAGGCTGGGACAGCTCCCTGTGGAAGGCCTGTTTGTAAAAGATTGGATCCTATGGAAGGCCCGAGTGCAGCTTGTGACAGCTCCCTGTGGAAGGCCCGTTTGTAAAAGATTGGATTTTGATAGAGCATTTCCGTATCTGACTTTAATGATGGAGCATTTCCATATCTGACTTTACACGATCTTTGTTCATATGAATGCTTTTATCCAGTTTAGCATGTTATGTTTAATACCAATTTTTTATCCAGTTTAGCATGTTATGCTTAATACCAATCTTGCCATTTAGAATTAGCTTCTCTTTCCATACTAAGTCATATGCTGGTTTAGAATTAGCTTCTCTTTCCATACTAAGTCATATGCTGACTGAGCCGTAAGGGTATTTCTTGCATCAATGTTGGGAGAAAGTGGCTACTTGTTGGTTCGTTGATCATTGTGACCTAAAAAGGAGAAAGTGGCTACTTGTTGGTTAGTTGATCTTTGCGGCGTAGCACCTGCGTGTTCATTCCTAACAATAGTGTTGGTCACAAGAAACCAGGTCAACCTCCTGCTAATCATTCTTTCCATAAGTTTAGCCAGCACGCTTGTGATGGATATAGGCCTATAATTGTCAAAGCTGCTATGGTCTTTGCCCCTTTTAGCACTGGCATTACTATGGCAACGCCCTTTTTTAGCACTGGCATTACTATGGCAACTTTCCATTGGTTAGGTACGAGACTGGTCTCCCAGATTTTGTTGAAAAGCGTTAGCATGGTTTCCTTGGCTTTTTGTCCCATTCTTATAGAAATTCCGAATGAATTCCGTTTTTGCCAGGAGACCTTTTGCACTTTAGCTGTTTAATCGCAGCATTAAGTTCGCAAGGTCTGAATAGTTCAGTAAGTACATTATTTGGTGTTGCTATGTCTTCTTTAATTTCGCCACATCATTTGGTGTTGCGTCTTCCTTAATTTCACCAAACTTTTGGTGTTGCGTCTTCCTTAATTTCACAAAACTGTCTTACAAGAAGCCTTTAAATCTCTTGAAGATTTTCTGACAAAAGGGTTTTCTAGTTAAATCTCTTGAAGATTTTCTGGCAAAAGGTTTTTTCTTCTGCTTGTGGACCTCGCAAAGCAGTTAGCTATTTCGGAGTCGGTGGTAAACAGTTTGTTGTTTTAAAGCGTATTGGTTCTTTCTTGGGTCTTTCCCCGTTGTTTTGGAGGTTACCCAGGAATTTGAAAGTGCGTATTGGTTCTTTCTTGGGTCTTTCTCTGTTGTTTTGGTGATTTTTCAGAAATTTGAAAGTGCGTTGGCTATCATTTTAATAATTGATATTTGAGATGAACTTGTCGATGGAAGTCCGTTTAGTTTGTAAGGTGGCTTGCCTGAGGACAGCTGATTGTCGTCTCTAGGCTTGTACGTCTTCCGTTCTTCCAGTCTGATGAGCAGTGTTGCGAAGGGCGTCCCAATTTCTTTTCAGTTCCTCTAGGTGTTTAGTCTTGCCTCTGAGAATAGTTTTCTTTGCACATCTGATCATAATATTCGTGATATCAGTACTTTGCACATCTGATCATAATATTCGTGATATCATTGCAACGTTTGTCAGGATGTTGGTTGAATTTGAGGGGACTTATGTGAAGTTCATTGTCTAAAAGGCTTGTGAATCTAGACCAGGAAGCTTAAAATTTATATTTGACATATTTTTATCAAGTGGCAGGCTTTAGGTTTAGGTAGTTATCATTAGCTCTTTGGTTGACCTCAGGCTTCACAGAGGGGAAGGATCATCATAGTCACAAAAAGTGGAGAGGAGGAACAGAAGAGTGATTCAC